ACCACTCATCCAGCTCACACTTCCTCAGCTTCCCCAGGAGGATATCATGGGAGACTGTGTCGAAAGCCTTGCTGAAGTCAAGGTAAACAACATCCATGGCTCTCCCTTTGTCTACCCAGCCAGTCATGTCATCGTAGAAAGCTATCAGATTGGTCAGGCATGATTTCCCCTTGGTGAATCCATGCTGACTACTCCTGATAACCTTCTTTTCTTCCACTTGCTTGATGATGGCCTCCAGGATAAGCTGCTCCATCACCTTTCCCGGGATGGAGGTGAGGCTGACCGGCCTGTAGTTCCCTGGGTCCTCCTTCTTGCCCTTTTTGAAGATTGGAGTGACATTGGCCTTTCTCCAGTCCTCGGGCACCTCTCCTGTCCTCCAGGACCTCTCAAAGATGATGGAGAGTGGCTCAGCAATGACATCCGCCAGCTCCCTCAGCACTCGTGGGTGCATTCCATCAGGGCCCATGGATAAAGTTATAATCAAATCAAGATTATAATCAAATCAGGATTCTGGAACACTTTCTGAAACACGTTGCTTAAGTTCTCTTAGTTTCAAGTTCAGTGTCAACTAGATCAATACTAGAATTGACCTGCTGGTTTTCACTCTCTGATACCAACCTGGCTCCCTACAAGGACCACACTCTTGGATATCCTGCAATTACTAACACCACCCTTTCCAAGCAAGCAAGGCACCTAACCCATTTGGTGTATATTAAAGTACAGAATTTATGTGGCATGTGCTGTTTCTTAGATACACAACTGGCCTGCATGGTTTGCTAATGTACAATTTAAATGCTGATACAGTTAAGATTAGTTGAAAAACTAGTAATAGGAGTACAGAGAACTTCCTTTGGGATCTGCAAAAGGCAACAATTAAAAGTTACAGTTCTGGGAAAAAAGGTAAGCATCCCATCAATCTAGCTTCACACAATTCTGGACCTTTAGTTTTAATTTCCAACTACTTAACTGTATGAAATTAATATAGGACATGGGCCACAGAGGGAATGTCAGAGGCTTGCTCAGATCATGACCACGTAACTTCACCCATATTTGGGCACAGCCCTGACACAGGATGTTTCTTGCCATCCTACCAAAGCTCAAACATTATTCACCATCTGGTACGTCACCCAGACAGCAGCTATAGCATTCAACGACCACAGCAACATTTCTTGCACTACTTCTTTGTGAGGAGAAAGCAAAAATCGACTATGTAGCTCTCGGTGAGTTCGGAGGGTTTGTATCTTCTGTATCGTGATCCACGAGCATGCCACTCACATACACTAAAAGACTTCTGTAGTAAAAAAAGATGATGTAGAGAGAGTGTGAGCATCCTTAAGACTATTTGATTGCTTTTTAAAACTTTTATCTCCATGCCACTAGGGAACAAAGGAAGAGGAATACAAACACTAGCAATTCCCTCTTTAAATGGAAATTTGGCAAGAAACATGTATTACATGCACAAGGGAATGCAACACACTGAACTGCAAAGTACTGCCTTTACTAGCAACAGAAAAAAAAAGTTGGTGTTTTCAGGTGTTTAAAACATAAACAACAGCTTTTTGTGTAAATACATCTGCACAGGGTAAATTCTTTCAATCATGTGGAGGCATTATACTGCATCAGGGCACACTATTTTATTCATTTCAGGGGAAAAAAACCCACAAAACCAAAGTCAAAGAAAAAGCTAGTTTTCCTATAACTATTCTTTCAACTTGAGCTATGAAGTCTTTCATGGCCTCTTTTCTGAAAAAGTGTAAGACCTGAACACAAAATCACATAGGTCTAGCTAATATGTGTTTTAAAAAGTTAGTCTAATCACTTTGTACAAAACCTCTGAACAGATATTCTCCTACCGATTTACTCCTGTTGAGTGCTTTGGTTTGCATTTTAACTAAATCACATTAAATTTATGCACAACAGACAAAGACTGGACTACCCCCACAATAAATACATTTTTTACAAATATGCTTCAGACAAGCTGTTCCAGTGTTGTGCTTACATGAATATTGAGTGAGACCTCAACTACAACTCTGACCTCAGCCGTGACAGTTTAATATGTGGATTAGCCAGGCATTAATCTGCAGCTTAAAGACCCAGATGTCAGACTCGCATCTGCTGAAGAGTCCTTCCCGAGACTTCAAGCGGGTTTGAGTCAGTCAGAACTAACCATCTTCGAAGGAGTAAAATTTAGACTCCACTTAAGGTGCCTGTTAGGAGTAGGGCCAAAATCTCCCAAAAGTCCTGTGAACATCTGGCTTTTTGGGGAAACAATCACACAACCCCATCAATCCACTGCGAGTCACAGTCTTAATTTTCAGGAGGTGCCAACAGAAGTCAAACCCTTACAATGACCTGCTACTATTCCAGAGAGGCTAAACACGACTACCCTCAACACGGCTTCTTTTTTCCTCCCCTTTCGGTGTACAGCTGGCTGATTTATACACAGCTGCTGCAATACTGTGGGCTTCGGGGCAAACTTTGTGCTGTGTCTGTCTGTTAACCTGTCTGGAACCTCAGTTATTCATCCAGACATACCCGCAACTCCTAGCATTTTGCAAGCATCTATACCACTGCTAATCAGCCCAGTACAGTCAAAAGGATACCCATCCCCCTGCATAGCTGGCTCCAAAACATGATTGCTGTCTTCAAGAAACCTTTTCCTCCCTTTGTTTTTGGTTCTTGCACAGTGACATCAGACACAAAAGAAAGCAGACAGTTTCCCACACACACCCTCAAAGCTCTCCAGTGGCACAGACCAGCCACCACCCAGACGACTTTGGCAGAGGACTACAAGAAAAAACAATGGGTTAGCAACGTACACCATGCACCGTGGAATCACTTGCTCTGTATGCACAGCACCCCCCATGATACCTACTCCAGTGAGTCACACTCCAGGCATGTACCTCTTTCAGTCAAAGAAACACCACTTGAAAGGGAAAGACAGCTCAGACAAGGTCAGAATTTGGAAGAAAAACCTAAAAGACCATTTTAAAGCAGCAAAGAGTCAAAACAGAAGCCCCAGCTCTTCCTTCATGCACACATCATGTGCTGTAGAACAGAAAATAGGACATATGGAGGGTTTGCTCCTGGGTATGTGTTTTTTCAGGGAAAGGCAAACCAGCAGCAAGCCCGATGCATTATCCCACTCTGGTGGATCTATCTGTCACTGCAATTGTTTACATCAGGAGAATGTAAGGAGCTATGCCCCCCTTCCCAGATGCACGGCAGAAGGCAGTCTGGCTCTGCTGCTGGGGCTGTTTTCACAGGTTCCCTCCAGCAGCTGAGAGGTATCAGGACGGCGTGAGAGGACTCAGGGGTGAACCACGGCTTACCAGAAGGAAGCAGTAATTATATTACTCCTCTTCCCTTGCCTTCCTTTCTTCAGCTGCTTTCTGAAACAGACAACTCTTCTTCTCCCACAAGTACACTGCTGACTTCACCCTGCAACCTCCTGGCAAATTATTCTTGAAAGCTTTGACTTCTTGGAGCCAAACCCACCTGGACGAAACCCTGTTTTGCCTCCAAAAGCTATGGAGTTTTTTTCTCCTCGACCCATCACCGCCTTGCACGCTGTCAAGCATTTGACACCTGTGCAAAGGGGTACCAGACGCAGGCAATCCAGCACCAAAGGTTCTGTGCTTGGCCGGCACGGGGGTCGATGCCGGCGACAAGCAGGCCTGCGGAACACTATTTACCAAACCACTTGTCGGGAGCCCTCTCTGAACACCCCCGTTTTATACCCACAACACCAAACCCCTTGCTTTTATGTAATTTCAGGCGACCGGAGAAGGAAGGAGTAGGCGGCGACAGGAGGGCACTCCGCAATCCCACGAAATCCCCGCCTGAGACAGAGCCGGAGGCAGACGGAGGCAGCCGGAGATCGCAGGGACCCCGCCGCCGAGCAC